GATCGCTCTCATTTAGATGCCCCTCGTTTACTAAGTAATTTTTTTTATAGTTATACCAATTTTACTCTCGTCGGTATATTTACAACTTATCCTACAGTATATCAATACTCATTTGAAATTCACTTGAAATTACACGAGTACCGATATATTACCGATACAGTAATGATATACTTAAAATGTAATTCATATTAGTATTGGCATACTATTGAAACAACGACATTATACTTTGTATGCATTTTGAACAAGTATTGTTGAATTGTTCATACAATAATGCTTCACTTGAAATTGCATTTTCAAATGAGTGCTCGTATACTATTTATACACTAATTTCATACTTGAAATCAATTTTGAATGAGTATTGATACACTATTCGTACATCATTAAGTATAAACTACTCATTATACATATATATATATATATATATTGTAAAATACATGCATTATCAATAAGAACATCATATAATTCTTTCTTATAGATCCCCAAGGTTCAGTAAGGATATTGGCCTACATAGTTTCCAGGAGGATAATAGCTGCAGATCACAAAAACCCAATTGTTCTCACATTTCACTCTAGCACACCCTATGTTCTTAGTGTCCCTCCACACTATTTGTGTATAATGACCGCACTCGTCCCCGACGCATCGATTCAAATGGTGGTTGTAGAACTTTTTCTCGGTCGCCCAAAACTTCACTGCTTCCACGGCGGTCATCTCGCCGTACCCCTCGGCAAGGTTTTCGCCATAAGGTCCATTAGAGTGCTCCATCTTGCAGGTTTCGATCTTACTATAGGCGTAATTCTGAGCATAGGCGGCGAGATTATTGTCCCAAGAGACTGGTCCGACCCCGACTGCCGCTCGGATGTCGTTGTGGGTGTCGACGAAGTCTTCTGGGGAGTTTTGGGCGTTGGAGATGGGAGCTAGGAGGAACCCTACTAAGCATATGGTAGAGAGAATTGTGTGGGAAGCCATTTTCAAAAGGTCTTGGTGGAGGGGATTTGGGGTCCGGTAGAGGGCATTTATAGAGAGGGATTTAGTGGTTTTAAAGAGAAGGTAATATTTTATTGTTTATTGCATCTTTTTCATTCAAATAATGGGACATTATGTCGATATGGGTCATGCATGTGTTCATCTGACCTACTTTTGTTGATAAATTTGCCACCTTATTTGGTAGGAAATTATTGCTTCTCATCAATGGCTAAAGTCTCTCTAATTAATATCAGTTTCCTAACTATTTAGTTTTATATTTTGTAATATTTACACCAATTTATGGGTCTCAAAACTAATGTGTATCAGAGACTCATCAATTGGAAGTAGGAACTAGTAAAGCTTCATTCAATCCGATATGAATTGTGAAAATGGCAAGAAAAAAATAGGCAAAATCACCTCCAAACAAAGTGACTCATGAGTTTTAGGGTTGTTCTCTTACCAAATTCGTTCCCAAATCAACTCGATCAGCTAAAATTCTTGAATCTACGTTTTTGTTGTTTGGATTGGTGAAACGAACGGTGAAAACAAATGGAGTTTTGTCAAGAAAGTCGTATATCTCTTAGAAGAGCTAGAGGTCAGCGATTGAAGATAAGTTATTTGGCTTTTGCTCGATGATGGCAACTAACATCTCATTGGCTAGATCGATGGTTAAAGTTTCCTAAAGTCTTTTTTTTTTTTTTTTTTTTTCAACGGGTAAAAAATTGTGTAATTATATTCGAGTTTCCTAACAAAGGTTATAAAATATTTTAGTTATAAGTATTTAAATATTCAACAAATTTCAATACTCGATCATTAATAGGGATGATTTTTCCAATGCTATAAGAAATCATCGGACAACAATGACACAATATTTTATTTTATTTACAATAACATATGGGCCATACATCTCTTAAGTTCACATGCATTTTTTTTTTTTTTTGTTAAAAAAAAATGTTCACGTGCATTTATAAAAGGATGTTATTGAAGAAATAACACTATGTTCAAGCTCAATACTAGTAGATATTATCCGTTTTAGTTCATTACTTATCGTTATTAGCCTCGTAATTATAAAATATGTCTACTAACAAGAGGTTTTCACACTCATATAAGGAATGTTTTGTTCTCTTCCCCAACCGATATGAGATCTCAAAATCTACCTCCCTTGGGGCCCAGTGTATTAATTGGTGCACCACCCGATGTCTAACTGTGATATCATTTGTAATCGTCCAAGCCCACTAGTAGCAGATATTGTCCATTTTAACCCGTTATGTATCACTGCTAGTTTCATGGTTTTATAACGCGTCTACTAAGAAGAGATTTCCACATCCATATAAGAAATATTTCGTTCCCCTATGTAGTTTTGTGTATTTTTTTTTTTCATATTTGTGAATCTTTTATTAATTAATTTAGTTTTTTAATTTTAGTATCATTAACTTTTCATAGATATCAAAATTAAATTAGTTAAACAAGTAATTTGAGCAACCTCCCACAAGTTGCTCCATAAAAGTAGCAATTAATTATGGAATTGAGTAATTTAATGAAGTGGGAATTGTTGATTTGAAAACTCAAAAGGGAAGATAGCATGGGTTGTCGTCATAGGTTCACATGTCCCATAAACTGAGAGAGTCTAAACGGTTGGATAACTTACAATATCTTTTAGTTGTTTTGTTTGATAAGCAATTCATGGTCTTAATACTACTTTGCACATGTGACTCCCAATCACTTTCGTAATCTTGTCCTATTAGTTTACAATATTCATGCCATTGCTTAACTCCTACGTTTCGATTTTTGTGTTGATTTGTCTTCTTATTTTTCTCGTTTTAATTCAACTTGAAAGGTCTTTGCGTAAAGGTTCGGTAGTGGTAATTATGGATTTGGTATTTGATGATTCTGACATTCTCTTCTATCCTCTTTCGCATGACCATGTTACTTACTTGTCGTTTCGAAAAATGAAGACTATCCCCACGAGCGAGCTACTATGTGGCACATGCGTGTGTCATAGTAAGGGTGAGCATTCTGAGACGAGTGTTTTCCTTTCAAATGTGTTTTTTAAGAACAGTACTGGGTGGCACGAGTGTGCCAGTATTGTGCTCTAGCCCATGTGTCAGAGGTCGGATTTTGTACCCACTATCTGGTATGGTATCCATAAATGACATGGTATGGGCACAGGAGTGCCAATGCCTCGATAGAACCAGAATGAATGGCTGTTCGGGATGCCTTGATGACATCTCAAGTCACATGTTCTATTGGATCCATTAATTGGGTACCAAGATGAGATGATGGGATGAGATGTTGCATTGAGAAATTTTGGCACCGTGTAGAGACAAGGTAGAGTTGAATGACTTGGCCTAGTGTAGAGGGAAGTTGGTTGTGTCGTGGACGATTGAACATGCACGCACAGACGATATGTGTGGTCGAACAATCTTGGATTCCGCACAAGTGATGTTCGGTTGGCGAAGACAAATATCGTCTAAGATCCAACAAAGCCACAAAAATCTAAAAGGTTGTCGTTAAACATCTAGATAAAAAATTGACTATAATAGACATATATTTAAGTTTCATATGCCTCTAGGTGTACTCCATGTACGAGTATAAGGTTACAGCGGGGAAGGTGATAGCAGAATTCGAGCAATCCAGTTCGAGATAAAAAATGGTACAAACTTTTTGTACGCCATACCTAAAAATGCAATAATATAATAAAGTTGAACAACGAGTTTGACTCTTTGTTCTTAAATCAAAATGAATAAGATACTTGAAAAGGTTAATCATATCCGTAAAAAGATCAAGTTTCCATGTTCTCCAAGCGGTTCATCTTAGTGTGCTAGCCGCAGCTGCACGACCTACAGACAAGACCGACGAGACTTGAGAAGGCAACCCGAGGCGAGTGGACCTAAAGATCGTTTCGGACTTCGAATTTGGACTTTCGCGATTTCAATGTATACAAACAATATTTACATCGAAACAAAAGTTGAATAGGAGCTGAACTCGATTTATAGCACTTACTTCGCAAGATAATAAACTTTGTTGGTTCATATGGACAACATTTTCATTAAAAATAAAAACATAGTTCGATCTGACGAGTCATCTGGTTAAATGTTTTGTTTAAAATAATAAAATTAATTAGGTTTAATGTTGCATAGAAAATGTTAACAAAATACTTGTTACAATTACATTATACTCCTCAACTTTAAATAAATATTTTTATTAAGTTAATTTATTAAAATAATTTTAATCCATTCCTATTTTTTAATGGAATGATTATCCTCAAATAAATTATTTAAATTTTTTATTATAAATATTTAATACAACTTATTTTAACATACTTACAATTCCTATATAATTAGAATAATTATTAATAAATCAAAAAAAAAATAATTCAAAAGAATAATTATGTATAAAATAATTATTGCAATAGAATATTTAATTAATAATATTTTTTTATTGTTAAATCAAAATTTTAATTCAAATCAATTAATTTCGTTTTTAAATTATAATATATTAATGAATGAGCTCATCAAAATTAATTCCAATAAATAATCAATTAATAATTAGTTATAATCTATCAAAACCAACTTTTTGTTATTGACTATGCTAACTAACGCTAGTTTACTAGGTATCTAATTAATAAAATTTTATTTGTTATATATATTTAAATAAATTATTATTGATTTATTATAATTAAATAATTAACTATATTAATATTGATAAACAAAGATTGATTAAGTATATTCATTGTGGTTTTCAATTTTAAAACCTTGAAACAAACGTTGACTTAAATGTTCGTGCCTCGAGTTAACTTCCAGGTTACGGTTTGGTTTTTCGGGTATAATTTGTAGGGCTCGAAATTGTTAATAGACAATTCGAATAATATCTTTATGTTACATACAAAGGCTAGCTATGGAGCAAGCTAGCATGACATATTATAAAAGATCAAAACTTGGATCAAAATATTGATAAAAAAAATAATAACAAAATTTGAACGGTGGAGGTTGTGCCAGCTTTGTCTTAGCTTTGTCTCCGAAGAGATCTCTGTCTTTTCTTTGTTTCACAACACTAGATATACAGTTTCTTTGTTCTTCTGACTATGATTTTATTTTGAGATCAAGTTTAGTAAGGAAGTTCGTTCAAATGGTTTCCCGAAGGATAATAGTTGCAAACGGTGAAAATATAATCCTTGATGCACTCAATTTCAGCGCAGCCAATAGATGTTGTGTCCTTCCACACCACCTGCCTGAAATGGCCGCACTCTTCTTCCATGCACTTGTTTTCTTTGTAGTCATAATACTTCTTCTCCATAGCCCACTTGTCCACGGTCAATTTTGCTGTTGTATTATCGTATGCTTCCGCCAAGTTTTCGCCATAAGGTCCATTAGAGTACTCCAACTTGCAGTTACCTATCTTTGTTTTGGCAAATTTTCGAGCATAGATAGCCAAAGTGGTGTTCCAAAACACCGGGCCGACGCCATACTCGGCACGGATGACATTGTGGGCATCGACGAAGTCTTTCGGGTAGCTTTTGGCAACCGTGGGAGAGATCGAAGCTAAGATTAGGGCAAGTCCCACTAACCAAATTGGAGATGCCATTCTTAAGAATTGTTAGTTGAAGGATTGGTAGGGTTGTATTGGTTGAGGACATTTGTGTTTGGTTTAAGGTATCTATATTAAGAAGATCACATGATTTTGTTCCTTTTTGTTGGGATAGAAATACATGAAGAGATAAAAGTGGAGAAACATTCAAATTCCTTAAATTCCTCATCATGGAACATTGTTATGTGGATTGTCGAATACAAATTCCTAGTTTCTCTCAAAATAAAATTTAATGCTTTTTTGTAACTTATAGAACTTAAAATGAGAGAATGATATCAATTTAAACTAAAAAAACATTAAAATCTCAGATAAAATATCTTTTTAGTCCCTCAAGTTTGAAGTTGTGTGTATAGTACATTTTTTATATATTTCCTATGAAGTTTGTGTCTGTTTGATGTTATTTTTGTTTATTTACTTTATTAATATTATAATCGTAACGACTCTACATTTTCTACTTAATTTAAGGTCGTTACTGTATACATATCATGAACATTGAATGCAAAAATATTTCATTTAAACTTTTTCATAACAAAAATTTTATCTTAAAACACTGTCATGGATTTATGTGTTAAAAAATATCTTTAAAACGACACAACAAAAGACTAAATTAAATAAATAAATATTCGACAATCCATGTATACCCTATGCATGTGTCATGGTCTCGAATTGCGATGATGTCGTCATCAGCTATACATGGATGTCTTATCTTTATTCGAAATAAAAGTAGCACCTTTATTTGAAATAAAAGTAGCACATGGAGTATTTTAAGAAATACTTATAAGTAACCCCACTATTGGAGTTATGTAAACACATCCAATTTCATGAATGAGACCTACCATAACAATCTATTTTCTTATTGCGGCTATCCTAATGGGCAATTGGGATGTGGACTTAATTTCACTACACACGACCCACACGTGCGAGTATGGACCCACAGACGGTTCGCACACCTCCTGGGCCCCCTTTCTGGTTGGGCGAGCATTCTTGAGAGTTGTTGATGTGAGACACCCGTTAGGAATAGCAACCTTCATGATAGCATTATGATAAACATAATGAACGTTTCCCTGCCTAGTAGTGTACGTGTTCGTACTATCGTGAAGAAATAGGGATATCCTCCAATCACACAACATTTTTCCATTTTCATTATCATTTAATATAACCTCGCTAGCGTCTCCCTTCATATCATATCATTTTATCATATTATTTCTCATATCGTTTACCATATCATTTATTGTATCTTGCATGTGTATTTCGGGTTCTATTTCATTCTAGTTCATCATTTTGTATTATTGGGACCTCATGCATTATTGTGTGCTCATGCATTGGGGGAACCCCTATTCCTTTACGATACTATGGACGAGTATGCTAATAGGCAGGAGAACGATCATTATGTTTGACATAGTGCTGTCGTGACGGTTGCTAATCCTAACGGATGTCCGGCATCAACAGCTCCCAGAGAATGCTCGCCCGACCATAAAGGGGCCTAGGAGGTGTACGAATTGACTGGTGGGTCCATACTCGCACGTGTGGGTCATGTGTAAAGAAATTATACATCCAAGTTTCTCGTTAGGATAGCCTCGTAGGAAAATAGACTATTATGATAGGTCTCATGCATGCAACTGTGTGTCTTTGCATTATAACCGATAGGGGTTCACTTACTAAATATTTCTTAAAATACTCAAGTCACATGCTACTCTATTTTTTAGATAAAGGCAATGGCCCTATAAGGTTGATGGTTGCATCATAATCCCGAGACTAGGCTTGGAAGAGTGATAATAGCTAAATATAAGAAGCTAGCTAGATTATCCAAAAACTTTAAAAAACGACATGCCTAATCTTGAGCATGTTACGATCGCAAAGTGCACAAGACTAGACACACAAACTTATAACTATTCAAAAAAGAATGGGCCTATTAAAATAACTACTCCACAACTCAACCTATAACTATTCCAATGAGAGAATCTACAAAAAAAAAAAAAAAAAAAAAAAAAAAAAAAAAAAAAAAAAAAAAAAAAAAAAAAAAAAAAAAAAAAAAAAAAAAAAAAATTGCAGGCATAGTCTCTTACATGTTTATAATAGTCTCTTACATGTTATAATAGAGCTTCATCTCAAGTAATAATAGAGAGGAGGAGAATGAATCATTAATTATAAGAAGGTGAAAATCTATTGAGGGGAAACCCAAACAAAGAAAGCTCAAAAAAGACAATATCTACTACAGTGCTTGGACCGTTACAAATTGTATCAGAGCTAAATTTTGGGCGATGTGTCAGTAAGTAGTCTGAGTCTTGAAGGGGGTGAACACGAAACGATGTGCCAACAAGGACATTAGACCCCGAAGGAGGGTGGATTGTGCACTTGGACCGTTACAAATGGTATCAGAGCCAAATTCTGGGCAATGTGTCACTGAGGAGTCTGAGCCCTGAAGGGGGTGAACACGAGACGATGTGCTAACAAGGACATTGGGCCCCGAAGGAGGGTGGATTGGGAGAGTCGCACATTGATTGGAGAAGGAAATGACGAGGACGTTAGGCCTTGAAGGAGAGTGAATTGTGAGATCCCACATCAGTTGGAGAGGAGAGCGAAACATTCTTTATAAAAGTGTGAAAACCTCCTACCGGACATGGACGGTTACACGAGTCAAGAGGAAGAGAAACTGTTACACAGAGTCAAGAGGAAGAGAAACCTTGGGAGAGTCGTATGGACGAAAGCTCTTCATATCATCCTCATGAACCTAATTGACTAGGTTGGTGCTCTTTTTTCTTGTAAGAAAATTGGTTTCTCTATTTAGAAGTAAGAAAAACTAACTAGATTGAAATGTCACGGAATGTATCCATTTTTATCCTAATAGAATGAAATTCGATTAGATATTTAAAAATTCCTTTTCTTGTTCTTGTGTCGTTTGATTCCGTTTGCAATTGACAATCTAAAAAAGTTATAAAAAAACAAGAAATAATTCAAAGTCGAATTCCATGACAATATTATGGTATAGAGTTGTGAAAATTACAAAACATTGGCTTGGTGTGAAAGTAAATAAATTGTTCACATTTATATAGCACTAAGTACGTACACAAATAAAAGGGATAATTATTGATAACTAAAATAACAAATTTTGAATGGCCGAGCTGTTATTTTGATATCAAGTTTAGTAAGGAAGTTGGTTGGCATAGTTCCCCGGTGGATAATAGTTACAAACTGTTAAAATATAATCTTTGATGCACTCAATTTCAGCGCAGCCAATAGATGTTGTGTCCTTCCACACCACCTGCCTGAAATGCCCACACTCTTCCTCCACGCACTTGTTTGATTTGTATTCATAAAACTTCTTCTCGCTAGCCCAATAGTTCACTGTCAATTCTGCTGTTGTTTTCTCATATGCTAATGCCATGTTTTCGCCATAAGGTCCATTGGAGTACACCATCTCGCAGGTACCCATCATTGTTCGGGCGAAAGTTCGAGCATCAGCAGCCAAAGTGGTGTTCCAAGACACTGGGCCGACGCCATAATTGGCACGAACGGCATTGTGGGCATCGACGAATTCTTTCGGGGTGCTTTTGGCAACTGTGGGAGAGATCGAAGCCAAGATTAGGGCAAGCCCCACGAACCAAATTGGAGATGCCATTCTAAAGAATTGTTAGTTGAAGGATTGGTAGGGTTGTAATGGTTGAGGACATTTGTGTTTGATTTAGGGTATTTATATTAAGAAGATCACATGGTTTTGTTCCATTTTGTTGGGATAGAAACATTCAAATTCCTTAAATTCCTCATCATCCAACATTGTTGTGTGGATTGTCAAATACAAATTCCTAGTTTTTCTCAAAATAAAAAGAAATTTATAAAACTTAAAATTAGAGAATGACATCAATTTAGTTTGTCTATTTGAATTGATCTAAGTCGATCACCAAGTGATATATATTATATGAGTAAAGCTATCATTTACATTGAGTTCATATACAACTTGGAGAAATATGTATTTAATATTTTTTTTTATAAATCCATTAATTAAGAAGACAAATATTTCTCAACACGATCATATACGATTGGATCTTAATGTTGATTGAGTTGTAAAGTTATCCACGTTCTTTGATTTACCTAGGTAAAAATAATATTTCTAGCCAATTCAATAGGTCTATAATGTCGTGGAGCTAGAAATATTTAAATTTCATAAGATGAAATTCACTTTTTTCTATATCGAAAAAGTTCTCAATGATTGATTTTGAGATATAAATAAATTCGACTCCAATCTCTCACTAATGCAACAAGAACTTGACTTAGGTGACAAAAGAATTGCTTATTGAAGGAGGGGTATATAAGGTATATAAGATTGATAGGTAATTTAGTTATGTCATATCCTACCTAATTAGGATGATAAGGTATAATTATGTTACTATATAGGGAATGGTTAATGGTTTGATAGCACATCCTCATATTGAGATTTTTGTCCGATTAATCATTCAATTTTAATTTAGTATTATTCGTGGTATGAAAAATCTAGTATTAGTAATAGCAATCTTGAATAGTATGTGGTTGACATATAAGAAGAAGATCATGGTTAATTAATAATTTCAAAGGTCTGTAATATATAGATAAAGTTGGATGGTTTATTATCATTACACTATCAATATAGTCTACTTTGTAATTGTTACAAATATTTGATACAAATCGTTCATGTGGAGTGAATAGGTGTATCTTGTACTGTGAGTTTGTATAAGACTCGGTCACAAAAAATTTGATCTCTCTTTATAAATCTATTAATTGAGAAGATTAATGTTTCATAAGAAGATCAAATACGACTCATTCTTAGTCTTGAATGAGTTATGAACAACTGTATGTGAGAGTTTGTCCTTTGATTTGCATGGGTGAGAATGACTATTGTAGTCGATTCAATATGTCAACCATTTTGGATATTTGTCCAAATAGATAGTTGGAAAAATAATTTCACGTGATCAAATTCACTCATTCGCATGTAGGGTAAGTAATTTAGTAGTTATAAGTGTTGA